GAAGAAGAAGAAGAAAAAGAAGAGGATGGTTCAAGGAGGAGGAGAAGAAGAGGAAGAAGAAATCAGAGGAAAGAAAAAAAAAACTTAAACAAACGCAAAGAGATAGTTACCAAAGATGTCGAAGTAATATGAAAATGAAGTAGGAAGATAACATCAAAATTGATATAGGAAAAGATGAAGGAGCAAGAAATGAGGAGAGACTAGAGTCTGTAGAATCAAGAAGAAGAAGATAAAGGTGGAGAAGGAAAATGAGTCAATAAGTCAATAACAGCAATAGAAAGCAAAAGAGAAGAAGAAGAAAGAAAGAATTCTATAAGAAAAATGTAAAAGCAAAAGAAAGATAAAGCCGATGAGAAGAAGAAGAAGAAGAAGAAGAAGAAGAATAGTCGTAAAGGGCGAATTATGGAAATGAAACAAAAGTGAAAGTGAAAGTGAAAGTTTAAAACGATGGCGAGAAACGTAGAAAATAATTATTTCCAAGTAATGTATAATGCTAATTAGAAGGGAATGAGACGGAAAGGCCTACATGGATAATAATTATACGCGTCTAGTATGGCTGTAAGTAAAAATAATTGACAGCAACACATTGAAAACAAGGCCTGAAGAAAGTCTATGAGAGACGAAAACTATGTCAGTAATAAGGAAAGAGTCACTCAATGCGTGTTTGTATCAAGAAAAAGAGAAACAAACATGAAATGAAGGGATAGAAGTTGGGACTATTTTTCACTTGCGGCTGATCACGGAACGTGGTTACATAGCACGATTTGCCGTCGGTCATTTTTTGTAATGTCACGTCTGCGGCGTCCGACTTTTCCCGCCGTCGTGACATAGCCGAGAATGATATGAAAAGGGGTGGAGGCGGCGAAATTGACGCTAATATTATCCGGTGAGAAAACATTCGTTTCGGAGAAGCGATTGAATCAATCGTGAAAGGTTTCAGACCGAATTGCTTTGTGTTGAGAACAACAAAGGATTTATTTTACATGGAATTAAAATAAATGTCGAAGGTAGTATTAGCGTTATCCACCAAACATTTTCATTAAGCAATATATATATATATATATATATATATATATATATATATATATATATATATATATATATATATATTAACTCGATGTATATATTATGTGTATCTGTCTACGGATATAGTGATATTTATTTTCAAAACCCGTCAGCACGCTCTAGCCGTGTTCGTAGTTAATGTTATTGAGTTTTTGATTTTTTTCTTTTTTGCTAATACAGCTTCCATTATTTTTATCTTTTTTATGTGTAGATGAAGTTAGTATGGTTGTATTTCTTACTGGTATGTTTCGGATGTAGTCCGGTAGATTTGTGTGCGTGTTTAAATGAGTCCTAATAGAGCTATGGTCGGATAGTTGTATCATAATTTGACTTGATAGGTATGTTGTAGTGTGACCGATTTAATTATTTATGAGTTTGGTCTTATGAGGCATTTGACCTCGTAGTTTTGATTTTGCAGGTGTGTGGTTATATTTGGGGATATGGTTTGCTGTTCTATATTAAAAAAGACATTGGAATCCGTACGCAGAGGCGATAGTCTGTTTCATGTTAAACGCAATCCTCGGGTCGTTATGCGTTTAACATTAAACAGAGTTACGCCTCTGAGTTTTGATTTCTATGTCCACTTAAGTTAAAACTATAATTAATATATATATATATTTTTATTTTCTTTTTTATAGATACAAATGTTTAAGAAAATGATCTGTTTATAATAAACAGTATTAACAACATTTACCGGCCTTGAATGTCCGAGAAATTGTCAGAGAAAATAAGCGTCCTCCGACAGGAATCGAACTTGTATCTTATACGTAACCGTCATATAACCTGACGTGCTTTTACCGATTTCGCCACAGAGGAGCGTTTGGTTAGCAAGATCGATTTTACTGTTTTTAAACTACAATTTTCCATGATTTTCTCTCGTACATTCATATCTGCTCGATGCGTACCCAAATGTAAACAAATGACGTAACACATTATGAAATGGACCAAGTCCGACAATTATTTTGAGACATTTTTATGTCTATACATGCTTTTATAGATAAAAATATTTTAAAATAATATGTCGGACTCGATATATATATATATATATATATATATATATATATATATATATATAGAGAGAGAGAGAGAGAGAGAGAGAGAGAGAGAGAACTTTTTTTTTATAAAAGTGTTCAAATTTTACTAGAATGTTCCAAATTAGGATAGGGTTGTTTTTTTTAGAATAATTTTATGATTACTTTAAGAATGATTAAAAGTATTGCGTAATTCGTTTTCTGTCAACCGTCATTTACACATTGACAAAATGGGGAAAATCAAATTAATTGATCAACATCTCCGTAAACGTATCGTTGACCTTCATACAAATGTACTTGATTATAGGAAGGTTTCTAGTCAGTTAAATGTGCCATTGAATTCAGTTGGTACGATAATCCGTCACTGGAAGACGTGTCATTCCATTTGTCTAAAAATGCTCTGGTCGTCCTAGAAAGGTAAAGAAAATATAGCAAGATTATTGGCGAGAAAATTTGGCAGCGATCCCCGAGTTACGCTTAAATAACTTCAGGGAGGATTAGAATTAAGAGGTGTAAAAGTGAGTACGGATATAATTAATCCTTCAATTCGTCGATGTGATAACTTTTCGGAGGTCTCCAAAGAAAATAAATCTTCTTAAACGAAAACACGTTCTTGCTAGACTGGATTTTGCAAACGAGCATTGTATCAAACATGCAGTATTTTGGGAAAATGGTCAGAAGATTCGAAAATTGAACTTTTTTTGGCAGAAATGCTGTGGGAAAGGTCTAGAGAAAGAAGTGTACTGAAATTCGCCTAAGAAAACAATCCCAACAGTAAAATTTGGATCTGGGGTTGCTTTAATGCCCAAGGTGTAGGGAACATTGAAATAATAGAAGGGAGGATGAATGGATCATATTATAGGGATATTTTGGAGAGAAATTTACGTCAGAGTGCACATTTGCTGGCCTTGAAACCAGGTTGGGTCTTTCAACGCCCCTAGAAACCTAAAAACTCATGGTTAAATTCAAACAGAATAGAGGTTCTAAAATGACCAAGTCAATCCCCAGATCTCAATACGATTTAAAATTTATGTAGAGAGCTGAAATTGAGAATTCAAAGAAGGAACCCGAAAAACCTACATGAACTAAAGGAATTTTATCGTGAAGAATGGAAAAGTAATAGTTAAGAAACATGCAAGAAATTCGCCTACATTCTTAGCAATAACGGTTACGCTACGAAATATTAATAGATGATTTAATTAATGTGTTGTAAAATTTTGCGTTATTGAATATTGGTTTTTCTTCGTGGAATATCTTTATTGATCATTTTTATCCAGCAATAAGTAAATAGCAGGACAGAAGGGGTTCTGTAGCCTTGGATGACAATTGGTCTACTGTAGAAAAAATGGCAACCTACTGCGGTAAAAAAAAATCTGCCTCGTCAGTCATGTATCGAAAGATCGTCTAAGAGTGTATCACGTTATGGCACATAACTGACTGAAAATATCATAGTTATTTTATTTATTGATTATTTGAAAGCTCTTCTTGGTAAGGCTGGGGTCTTTTCATAATGATTTTTGCGTAAATATTAAATATTCTATAAGTCAGAAACCAGTGATAGACAAAATCTGGAATACTTGACCCTTTTTCTTTCTCTCTTTATTTCTTTCTCATACTCTATTTCAAGCCCAGAGACACACAGATGACATTTCTTTAACATTAGCAAATTACTGAAGATATTGTATTGAAAGTGAAGTCATTGGCAGACATGTTTTGACAACACTTTGGACCATTCTGAAATGTTCTTGCTTGTATTTTTATTTTCGATTTTATGTTTTTATTCCATTTTTGTCTGTTTTTTTTCCCCCTTTACATCTCTGAGTTCACGGCACATTTATTCTTTTGATTTCTACCCTCACCCAGGCTAGATAGTTATTCATGGGCCATCAGTGAAATCGTCACTGTTTAACGCCGATTTTGTCTAAAATGGCGGACGGACTTAGATCGTTCAACCAAATCCGGACGATAGTGTAGAAAGGGAAGACGAAATAAAGGAAGTGAATAAAGACCAAGCCGTGAATAATATATTTTTCGCTGAAAAAGAAATGGGAGAAAAGAAGTAAAAGAAAGAGAATTCATAGAAAAAGAAGCCGGTCCAGACAAACCCAAATAATAAAATTTATGAAAGAAAGCAAGAATTGGAAACAATTTCAAACATAAAATAGACAATAAATAAAATATCAAAAGTGAAAATAAAGGAAAAAAAATAATGTAAGTAAAACTGTGAAGGAGAAACACTCTAGAGAGCGTCGGAAAGAAAGGAAGAAAGAAGTTTATTTTTAAAAACACAAAAGTTTGAAAAGCATGAAGTAAGAAAACGAAATTTGCGATTGACAAAAATCTAAATGATTGAAAATCTCAGAGAATCCCAACGGGTTTAATAAAATCAACTAGAAAAGAAGAAATCCCAACGAAGAAGATAATAAGAGAAATAAGCTCGCATCTCGCTGAAAAGAAAAACAGAAAACGTTGAGGAGTCTCATAAAACTAGATCAGTAGACCTAGCATAAAGATGAACACCATGTCGAAACCTCTGATTAAAGAAGAAAGAGATAAGGAAGATGACTTGTGAAAGCGTTGTTTAACAACAACAACATCATAAATTAACAAAATCATTGGAAGAATATGAAGAAATCCTGACGGAGGAGATAATCAGAGAAATAAGTATGCATCTACAATGAAAAGAAAAACAGAAAACTTTAAGGGGTCTCATAAAACTAGATCAGTAGACCTAGCATAAAGATGAACACCAAGTCGAAGACTGATTAATAAAGAAAAGTATACTCAAGATGACTTGTGAAATCGTTGTTTAACAACAACAATAAAAAAATTAACTCACATTCTTTTCATATACCATGAAATTATGTCAAATATTGTCCTCCATAGTTTATGCTTCCTTTTAAGCTAAAAGAGTTTACAGTATTTTACAGTGTTTTCGAATTCAAATAGTACAATAATATCGGAGAGGGGAGAGAGAAAATAGGGAAGGGATATATTAAGGAGAGAGAAAGAGAGAGAGAGAGGAGGTAAAGAATGGGGAGAAAAAGAGCGAAAAAGAGAGAAATAAAGACAGAGTGGAGAGAGAATAGACAAAGAGAGAGAGTTGATAGATAAAGAGAGAGGCAAGAGAAAAAGAGAGAGGCAAGAGAGAAAGACAGCAGAAAGAGTGAGAGGGGAGAAAAAAGAGAAAGAGAGGAAAGGAAGAGAAAGAGGAATAGTGATAAAGATTAAAAAGGAGAAAGAGATAGAAAGATTCAGAGAGAGGTGAGAAAGACAAAGAGAGAGATGAGAGAAAGAGAGAAAGAGATAAAAAGAGTGAGAAATAGGCAGCAGTGCGAGCAGAGAAAAAGGGAGGAAGAGAAAGAAGAGAGAAATAGAGAGGAGAGAACTAAAGAAAGAAAGAGAGATCCATAGAGGTGATAAAGAGAGAGGAAGAAAGAGTGGGAATAGAAAGAGAGAGAAAGAGAGGAGAGATAGGGAGAGAGAGAGAGATATATTGTGAAAAGAGGGAGAGAAAGAAAGCAACATAATTTTAGTGGCTTTAGTGCCTTGCATTGGTGATACCAATTGAAAAAAAAAAGAAAAAAAAAGAAAGGGATATGCAAGACCAAGATTCGAACTCGTATTCAACTAGCGAATGGGTCATGCTAAAAGCTGAGCAAGGTGTTGAGAAGCGGAAAAAAATAATTCGAAACAAAGAAAAGTGTGCCGTGTTGCTATGTGATAACCATCGTCTTATACAGCAGAGAACGTTAAACAATTTCCCTACAGACGAGAAAAAACCTAGATGCAACAGAAATGCGATTCTACAGAAGGATACTGAGAATTCCCTGTTTAGCATTGAGGATGGCTTAAATAAAATGGTACAAGAACATACACTTATAAGCAGAAAAAAAAACAGCCTAAATTGCTTGGACACATGATGAAGACCCGAGGTCTTGCAAAACCTAACCCTCACAGGGCCTATTGAGGGTGAGAGATAGGTGAATGTGGAGAGACACTACCTGACCGGCTTGTGTGAATGGATGGCTGAACTGAGAGTGAGCATTAGCAATGGGAGAAAAACTGCTAAGAGTTACACAGAGATAGGAAGTTGGGGAGATCGATGGTCGCCTATGACCTGAAGGGATACGGCACATACACGACAAGTTTTCGCGCAAATAAGGAATTTTTTGCCAATGTACGGCTAATCATTTCGATCTGTTGAAATCAGTACATGAAGATAAGATCGTTCTATGATAAATATTAGTCATTTTTTTTTTAATAAAAAAAAAAAAAAATTCTGCCGAAAGAAATACTTCAACAGAACTATCAATTATAATTTGCTGGAACGCTCGGCTATTCTGTGACACAGAATTTCAACAAACCATCTGCGTTTTGGTGCCAAACTGATCGAACTTCACTTTATCGGACATTGGGAAAATTGTGTTTTATATACAATGGAATACGGTACAGGGTTAGCCTAATTATTGGCAAGATTATCTGGAAATCTGGGTCAGGTTCTATCACGATCATAAAATAATGGTTTCTCAGCAAAGGTCAACGGTTCACTCATACCGAAGATAGACCGAATGTAGGTTAATCAGTTTATCTATCATGGTTTCGATTTATTTGCTTTTATGATTATGAATATGGATGAACCTGTTCTAAATATGGAGAAATAGTCCTTATCGAATTGCTAGTATATCTCTGTTTATCTCAGTCTACTCAGATCTATCTATCTATCTATCTATCTATCTATCTATCTATCTATCTGTCTGTCTGTCTGTTTGTCTGTCTATCTATCGTCAGAATGGATGCCAGCCGTATTCAAAAGCAATTGTTTTTTGTTGAGTTGCGAACGGGGAAGAAAAATGCCGTCAAATCTAAGATGCGCTTTAAGGACTGCATCAGGGGCGCGCTGATGAAATGCAACTTCCCTTTGTGAGCAGTGGAAAAAAATGTGCATCTGATCTCAATAATTGAAATGAGGCTGCTAGTAGTGGAAAAAAAGGAGTCACGCAAAGCTTAAAAGAGATGTGCAGAAGGGCGTCCCCGTTGAACCTCCTGAAGACACCCGCAGGAAGCTCGAACTGATTTGTACAAATTGTGGTAGAAAGTGTTTGTCGATGGCTGGTCTAAGGAGTCACTTGAGAGCGCACCGACTGAAGGTGGCAATTAACTATAGCAAATGAAATGTGATATTTGAGGTAAGATATGCGGGTTCAGAAGCGGTTTCATGCGACATTTTAAACTGCGTCTGGACCTCTTAAGTACCCTGTTTGTGCCAGATTATGTAGGTCCCTTGCTGGGCTAAAGAGCTAAATTTGGTTAGCACATCAGTAGATATTCTCCAAAAAGATATTTAGTAGTGGCCGTACTCGAACACGAGGTGGCAACCACTATCTATCTATCTATCTATCTATCTATCTATCTATCTATCTATCTATCTATCTATCTGTTTCTGTCTGCACGGATCTATCTATCTATCTTCGTCTGCTCATATCTATCTAACTATTCATGTATCTCTTTCCGTCTGTCCGGATCTCTCTCTCTCTCTCTCTCTCTCTCTCTCTCTCACTCTCTATCTATTTATCTATCTATCTCACTATGTTACTATCTATCTATCTATCTATCTATCTATCTATCTATAGGGGTTAGACAAAATGATGTGAACACTTGGCTTAAACCTTTAGCTTATTGACTAATATGTTGCTAAACCTCCATTAGCTTCTAAAACTGCTTTGGTTCTATGTGGGATGGTATCTTCTTCAATCAAAATCTCTGAAAGTTTTTTTCAGCGATGACGGGGGAGGAAATCATTTCCTCCCCCTCTGTTCTAGAACTCCCCATAATGGCTCGTGTTGAGATCAGGTGATTGTGCTGTCCATGGAAGATTTTTAATTAGTTATGATGGTCATCTGACCATGACTTACTATTTTTTTGCAATGTGGATTTTCATCTTGGAATATGGCACTTTCTGACCATATTGAGGGCATGTGTCATTGACAATTTTGCGATATTTATTTGCAGTAATTCTACCATTAAGATCGACGAAAGGAACAGCAGAAGACCAGGAAATTGCGGCCCAAATCCTTAATGAGCAACCTCCATGTTTGAATGAACTGTGCAGTCCGGCTTTACGCGGTGTTCCCAATACATAAACACGAATATTTGTAGGAAATAACATGAAAGAAGACTCATAAGACCATTCCCAGAGAATCCAACTTTTCTGATCATCACACCATTTTTTTTTTCGCAACTTGGCGTTCATCTTTAAGAAATAGCTATTGAGAAGAGGTGGATTCAAACATTTCCCAAGGGTATTTTCTTTTATATAAGATGTCATAACCGTGAGACATTCAATAATTCGGACGTTTTGGTCAAAGATGCTCCTACTAATCGAGCATCATGTATTTTTCCTCTTTGAAAATCCGGCAGGTCACGTATTTTAGGATGTAATTCTTTCACCTGAAGATAATTAATGATTTAATTAAGTGAAAAAGCAAAGTAAAGGATTAAAATGTTGTGCAAATAATTTTTATGCTTGTTTGATCACAATATTTTGTCTAACCCCAGGATCTATCTATCTATCTATCTATCTATCTATCTATCTATCTATCTATCTATCTATCTATCTATCCCAGTCTGTCCATATCTATTTTTCTATCAATATTTCCCTATCTATCTGTCTATCTATCGCAGTCTGTTCATATCTATCTATCTATCTATCTATCTATCTATCTATCTATCTATCTATCTATCTATCTGTGTGTGTGTGTGTGTATAAAATTGGGCATTTATATGTGTACATGTATGTTTAAGTATACAGAAAAAGTGCTCTAATATACGTATATGCCTGAGTGTATGCATATACAACTATATATATATATATATATATATATATATATATATATATATATATATATATAAATCAAATAAAATACACTCTCTTGTTTTGGTGTACGGATTTAAAATCCAACAAAAACCAAGGACTCTAATATTGATGTACATAAAACAGCTTGTCGGACACTCACTTGGGTCTGGACACTGGAGGTGATAAGCTAATATAATTTAATTTGGTGTATGGTCCCCACATATCCTCAGATATACAAATGCATTTCCTCTGACATTGCCTGGCGTTGTCTTTCTTTGATTTTAACGTGAGAAATTAAAAGAGAACAACCGTTCTCTGCGAGACGCATCGTTAAATAATTTTTGTCATCATCTTCCTTACCGAAAGTGTAAATCCCCTACAGAAGGTGGCGACGAATACTGAGCTGTTACGTGACATCTGTTCGTCTTTACGGCAGCGAATGTTGGACGATTTCCTCAAAGATGAAGAAGAGACGCGAGGCGACAGAGATGTGGTTCTACAGAAGGATGCTGAGGATATCATGGACGGAGCGTGTTAGAAACGATGAGGTCTTAGAGAGATCGCAAACAAAGAGGAGGCTGTCTATATTTCTAAGCATAAACTACAAGAAGACAGAATGCATGGTCATCACTAAGAGGACGAACCCGAAATGCGATTTGCAGGTCGGGAACACTAGAATCAAGCAGACGCGGAAGTTTAAATATCTGGGAAGCATTTTGACAGAGGACGGTAAGTGCGACACTGAGATCCGTAGACGTATTGGGATGGCCAAGGACACATTCCAAAAGATGAGCAGGGTATTGCGAGACAGCAGGATTTCTTTGGTAACAAAGAAAAGAATACTGAGCTGTTAAGTGACATCTGTCCTTCTTGACGGCAGCGAATGTTGGACGATTTCCTCAAAGATGAAGAAGAGACACGAGGCGACGGAGGTTTGGTTCTACAGAAGGATGCTGAGGTTATCATGGACCGATCGTGTGAGCAACGATGAGGTCTTAGAGAGGTCGCAAACAAAGAGGAGGCTTATACTTAATATCAGGAAGCGGCAGGTGAAGTTTCTGGGACACATAATGAAGAAGGACTGCCTGGAGAATCCGATACTCACGGGTCGAATAGAGGGAAAGAGAGACAAGGGAAAACAACGCTTGACATAACTGGCGGACATAAGCAAGTGGATGGCAGAACGTAGTCTGTAAGAGGAAGCACAGGAAAGGAACTTTTTGAGAGATGCAAGGGATAGAGTAAGGTGAAGAGCCATGATCGCCTACGCCCTGAAAGGACATGACGCATAATAAGAAAGAATTATACATCGTGGTACTCTCAACATATATACTAACTAGTGATCTCAGAGTGTCCTTAGGCAGATCCTCAATCTAAAGCAGATAAGAATAGGACCGACGAGAGAGCCTTGGGGATTTTATTTCTGTATTTATTTTGACACTATCAGTATTTAACAATTTTCATGGAAAAATCAACTTCTCTATTCATGAAGAACGTTTACCGTTAAGAAATTAGTTTTCATGTTCATGTTCATCTAACTGACACCTTCTCTTGTCTTCTGTGATATTTATTTGTATAGAGTCAGTCATATCGCTGTAAAGAAAAAGAGAAGCATGAAAATGTAAACAATACAATAGATGGAAAAGGAAAGCAAAAAAAAAAAAAGAAGACATTGTGGAAAAATAAAGATCGAAAAGGCGACAATATGGTGTAAAAAAAGAAAGAAAAAAATATGGAATATCATCGAAAGAAAAGGGAAAACAAAAATTGTTAAAAGAATAAAGAAAGACAAGAAAGGCAGACAATATTTGTAAGAAAGAAAAAAAAGAAAGAAAGACAAAATGAAATGTAGACAATATTATAAAACGTAAAATGAAAGCAAAAATAGATAATACACTAGAAAAAAGAAAGAGAGAAAAAAGAAAAAGAAATAAAGATAGGAAAAAGAAAGAAAAGAAAAGAAAAGAAAAGACAATGGATAGAAAGAACAAAGAAATGTCGTTGAAAGTAAAAGAAACCGAAGACTTGTGGAAAGAAAGAAAGAACGAAAGAATGAAAAAAAGAAAGACAAAAAGAAAGAAAGAAAGAAAGAAAGAAAGAAAGAAAGAAAGAAAGAAAATATAAAGAAAACGAAACTAACTATCGGGAGAGATAATCGAAAAAACACAAACTTTTCCTTCTATGAACGAAAGAAAGAAAAAGACGTTGTATAGAGAGAAAAACGAAATAAATATGACAATATAGTTGAAAGAAAAAGAAAGCAGAGAGCTGTTGTGGAAAGAAAGAAAGAAAGAAAGAAAGAAAGAAAGAAAGAAAGAAAAAAAGAAAATATCGAAAAATAGATGAGGAAAGAGTAAGAAAATCAGAAAAAAGAAAATTATATTCTACTAAGAAAGAAAGAAGTAATAAAAGAAGGAATGAAAGAAAAAGAAAGAAAGAAAGGAAGTAATAAGAAAATATTGAAAAGATAAATAATGAAAGAAAGGTTAAGAAAATCGGGAAAAAGAAAACTATGGAGTTCTAAGGAAGAAAGAAAGAATGAAAGAGCGAATGAAGTAAAAAAGACAGAACGAAAGAAAGAAATAAAGAAAGAAAAAAGAAAGAAAGAAAGAAAATATAGAACAATAAAGAAAAAAGAAAGGGCAAGAAAATCGGGAAAAAGAAAACCATGTCGTTCTAAGAAAGAAAGAAGAAATGAAAGAACGAATGAAAGAAAAAAGACTAAAAGAAAGAAACAAAGAAAGTATTGAAAAAATAAACAGTGAAAGAAATGTTAAGAAAATAGTGAACAAAGAAAACTATATCGTTCTATGAAAGAAAGAAAGAAAGAAAGAAAGAAAGAATGAATGAAAGTGCGAATTAAGTAAAATTGAAAGAGGAGAAAGAAAATATTGAAAAATAAATAAAGAAAAAAGGGTAAGAAAATCGGAAAAGGGAAAATAATATGTTTCTAAGAAAGAAAGAAGAAAAGAAAAAGACAAAAAGAAAGAAAATAAAAAGAAAGAAAATATTGAGGAGAAAGAAACCAAGACTAAAGCAAACAGCATCAGACAAAGAAAAGAAAATGAAAAATATAAAGAAATACAAAATAAAAGCAAATGAAAAAGATATTGCAAAAAGATAAAGAAAATATTATGGAAAGAAAGAAATAAAATGAAAATCGAGAAATGAATAAGAATTGAAGAAAATACGAAACGAAAAGAAAAGGAAATACTATGGAAAGAAAGAGTGATGAATGGAAGAACGAAAAAAAAAAAAAGAGAGGAAAAAGAATGGCAGACGATACGATGGAATGTAATGTTAAAGGGAAGAAAGCCAAGCATTGTCAGTAAGAAGAAGGAACAAAACGTCAGCTAGAAAAATGGCGGAAAAACAAGGAAAGCTGATGAAATGATGTCCACATCCACCCACCAAACACACAAGAAATTCTACAAAAGCAGAAAACAAATGAAAAACTGGAAGACAAAAAATATTAATAACAAAAAGCATAAACAAAATCAACAAAATCCATCACGATTCCTGAAAGGTCAAGTGAGACAATGGCGGTCGACGACGAAACGTAAAATGAAATGTTTGAAACAAAAAGCGACGTTTATTTGATTAGAGATTGGCTGCCACTCGATGCTTTCAGTTATCAACTCAAAGTAAATTCAATTTTCTCCACGCCACTTTCGGACGGAAAAAAAAATAATGAAGGCGTCACCATCACTCGATCCAGCTGGAACCTTATCCTCACCCTAACCATCAAACTGCTTGTTTTTTGTTTTTTTTTTTTTTTCCTTTTTCTTGGTTTTTTTATCACTCTCAACGTGTTTCACAAAAACCCATTCAATTATACACTCACACAATCATCCCTTAATAAAGCTGTAGATTCTGCGAACGCCTCTCAGATAAAAGACATTGACGCATGCGCATGAATTCACGCAAGCGCAGGAAGTAACAAATGCTGCATTGAAATGTCCTTCCTTACGTTCCGTGTCCTCCCTAGGACGTAGTCGATAATGGCTCTCCACAATTTCCTGTCCTTCCTGGCGCTTAATAAATGTCTTTTTGTTATTTCTCCACAAACTTTCTTCATCCATTCACTTATTCAAGCTCATTCTTCTTTCTATGCATCGTGTCCCTTCAGGACGTAGATGATCGGGCTCTCTACAATTTCCTGTCTTTCGTAAATCTTAATAATTTTTATCCTTCTGTTATTTCTCCATCAATCTTGTTCCACAATCCAGTAACTCAACTTCACTAAGCCTTGTATACGTTCGTTTACTCTTGCCCTCAATATTTCCTGTGAGTATTAGATTTTCTAAGCCCTCTTTCCTCATTATCTGACCTACAAATTTCAACTGTCGCTTCCTGATGTTGGATAAAAATTCCATTTTTGTTTCCATTTTTTTTCTTAAATTTTTTCTATCGTATCCTCAGAATCCTTCTGGAAAAACCATAATTCTGTTTCTTAAAGTCTGTTCTTCATCTTTGAGGAGACTGTCCAGCATTCACTGCCATATTAGAGGACAGATATCACGTAAGAGTTCAGGAGCCTTTTTCTTGTTTATAACGGTTTTTTTTTCTGTCTCTCAATATTCTGCTTAGCTTTTGGTCTGTTTTACGGCATATCAACCTCAATGGGTTATTCAATGTCGACAAGATTTTAAAAATAGGTTTGTATAAATAGAATATGAATTCTTTGTAAGCGGGGGTTAATTTTTCTATTGCTATCAAGTAAAAAAATGATCCCCCTGTTGCTAATATATCTTAATATGTAAAATATATATTTAAAGACATGCTTGGTTGGTTTGGTTTGATTTGGTTTGTTTTACGTCATATCAACCTCAATGGGTTATTTAATGCCGACAAGATTTTTAGGATGGATTCGTATGAATAGAATATGTATTCTTTGGTTTAGATTAGTTTGGTTTATTTTCTTTTACGGTATATCAACCTCAATGGGTTATTTAATGCCGACAACATTTTTAAGATAGATTCATATGAATAGAATATGTATTCTTTGGTTTAGATTGGTTTGGTTTATATTCTTTTTGCCGACAACATTTTAGGATAGATTCGTATGAATAGAATATGTATTCTTTGGTTTCATTTGTTTGGTTTATTTTCTTTTTTACGGCATATCAACCTCAATGGGTTATTTAATTTTAGAGACAGATTTTTGATTCGTATGAATAGAATATGTATTCTTTGGTTTCGATTTGTTTGGTTTATTTTGTTTTACGGATATCAACTCAATGGGTTATTTAATGCCGACAACATTTTTTAGATAGATTCGTATGAAAGAATATGATTCTTTTTGGAACCTCACCAACAATTAAGAGGTGATTCCACGCCCCTCAAAGCCTCCTAATCAGAGACCTTCTGTTGGATGTAGTTTATTGTCTTACCCAGGACGGGCTTAGTTTTTTGCAGCCGTCTTTGGCTATTCCAATTCGGCTTTGGATTTCAGTGTCACACATTTCAGCCTCTGTAACTTAGATCGACAGTTCGTTGCCAGTGTTTGAATCTACCGTACAAGTAAAGATACACACATACAAACACATTGATACACCCAGGCTGTTTTCCCGTATTTTACGCAGGGGATATGATCCAATGACCTCTATTTTTTTAAATTGTTTTCAATCATTACACCCCAGGCAAGGAGGTAATGCTACTAAGACGCACGGGGTTACTGAGAGCAAAATAAAACGAGAAGTAAGGAGGAAGTATAATAAAAGGCGAGGTTTCTGATTAACAGAAGAGGGGGATTGATATTTAAATGCTTGATGATCGTAGGTGGCAGTTAAGCAAAAAATCGGAAGAAAGTTCTACAGACGAGAAAGGAGACTGTTAATATAAAACATACGGGTACCACTAATTATTTCACAATAAAACATCAAGTTACCAATTTCATACGGTGCTTAAAGTAGAAGTACTAAGGAATATAAAGATACAAAAATGTGGCACAAGGCTAAAAGGGGGTGTGGGGGTTGCGGTTTATCATTCGCCACAATGTTCCTTAAAATCAAGACATTCTTATTTACCATTCTTACTATAGCCACCATAGTACCTCAAAGCTATACTGTTATACTAAGTCTCTTTTTCTTCTTTTTTTTTTTTGCTTTCCGTCGCTTTTCCCAAATCAACTATACATACACAGTTTTTGTTTCTGCTATTTTTCTATTTTATTTCCTCTTTGCTTTCTCCTTCCGTCTATCGTGACAGTGAGTTTTTGGCATTATTTTCCCCAAATTATTTTGTTGTAGCCTGCACAGCTCTAACATCTTAAAAACAACACATTCTTATTTACCATTCTTACTATAGCCAACATAATACCTCTAAGTCTCCATGAATTCCTAATTAGTCCCCATTTGTATAATGTGGATTTGAGAAATAAAAATGTTGGATATAGGTTGAGGAAAGACATGTGGCCTTACTTCCGCTGCATCAGTGTGTGCGCAGAAATCAGAACTGGTGATAGCATAAAGATGAAATTCATCCGATGGCTAAAATAAACAGGGTGCACAGGTGTCCTGAGCTGAAGTAACTGTGTGCTTGCTTAGGCGCTTGCCGGAAGAGCCGTGGCCACACGAAGTTTAATAGGTTAGGCCACATACCGGAAGAAGACGTAGGCACGTGAAGTTGCGTAAAATTCCAAATGTTATATAACCGTTCCGCTTCTTGATCTGGACAGAGAGGCTGTCTAGAGCGTCACCAAAGATTTTCTTCCGTCAATTACTGCGCAATCGTAATTTCTGTGATTCTCCCTCATTCTACTCATAACACAAACAATATATATATATATATATATATATATATATATATATATATATATATATTTCACCCCCAAGCAAGGCGGGAAGCCACTAGCACGCAAGGGGTTACAGAGGATTTAGAGCAAGAGCAGATAGGAGTGATAGAGGAAAGGATGTAGAGAAGGATAGGGGATAGATCAAGGCAACTGGGGATGTCAATTGACATTACATTTGAATATTTGAAGATTAAAGCTATCAGGGAAACAGGAAAAGGGAAGGGAGTTCCACAGGCGAGAGGCGTGAGATATGAAGCTATTGGAGTAGAAGAGACGGCTACATTTAACAGTTTCAACAGTGAAAGGGTGAGAGCGGGATGCCAGCTTCGTAGGACGCTTGAATTCATGAGGCCTGGGAATCAGCGAAAGCGTCTCATTGAAGCAATACAGAAAGTATCTGTAAAAAAAGACAGAGAGAGGCGACGGAATGTCTGTGAGAGAGCGACTGCAGGCGAGATGTCAGATCAAGGCCAATTATATTGCATATCCGTCTCTGGAGCTTATCAAGAACCCCGAGGCAAACAGAAGGGGCTCCAGACCATATATGGCAGCAATACTCCATGCAAGGGCGAATGGTTGATTTGTAGATCTGAAGGATCAATTCCAGGGAGAACAATTTTCTGGTGCGGCACAGGGAGCCAACTTTCTTTGCGCTGGACGAAGCAATTGACTCAGTATATTTTGTTATATATATATATATATATATATATATATATATATATATATATATATATATATACGATATCATAATTCCTTAACCATACCACCAAAATTAGATCAGGAGAACAACATGACTACTTATGACATCACTAGCCTATATAGCAATATATTCCATGAATTAAGTAAACAAGCAATCTCATTTTTGATTGAAAAACGTCCTGAAACACTATATCCCAGATTTACTAAGGAATTCATTGGTAATAGTATAGACCTGATTCTAAACAATATCACTTTTGAATTTGACAATAAAAACTATATCCTAACCCTACGTACCGCAATGCAAACGAAAATGGTACCTAAATATGCCGCCTTAACATTAGCTTACCTAGAGAAACATTTATATGAACAGGCAGAACAAATATACGGGATAAATATAAAAACCCAATTCACTAAATCGTGGAAAAGATACTTAGATGATTGCTTTATTTTCTGAAAATCCTCATGTGGTGATATTAACCACTTCCACTCTCTACTTCAGAAGTTACACCCCAAAATCAAATTCACCCCAGAATATAATTTCAACGAATTACCATTTTTAGATATACTCATTAGAAAAAAAAAACAAACAACCACATAATCACAGATATCTACCACAAACCTACAGACACACAACAATATCTTCATTTCCAGAGACATCACCCAAACCCTGTCTATAATCTATCTCCTATTCCCTTGCTCTTAGGGCTTGCACTATAGTAACCGAAAAACACCTCCGAAAAACCCGCCTGGAAGAATTATATAGAACACTTCAAAAACGAAGCTACTCACAACACTAATAAAAAAAGGTTTGAACTAGCAGAAAAACACCTCTGGACTAACTACGAAATCCAAAAAAACCGTAACATCGAACAAACCCTAGCATATATCTAAACATACAAAGTTGTCTTGGAAGCAAGAAGCCAGAAGCGCGTTCCAAAAGGGAGAAATGTGATAGCAGAAATAATAAGCATAGAACTTACATTACATCTCGCAATTTTACTCAGAATAATTAGATCTCATCCACTGTCCAGTGTGAAGAATCTTTTGCATGGCACCATTGCAATTCAGTGCCAAAAATCTGGTCTGTTAGATTCTGCTGTTGACCATATCCAGCATACTGCCATTTTTTTAAAATCATCACTAAGTTGCAAAGAGTTATTGTGGGTTAAAGAATATGTGAACAAGAAAAAAAACACTATTAGGGAGAGAGAACTATAAAAGAAGAGGAATTAAGAAAACAGAAGATAATGATTGACATTCCATTTAAAATTTTGGAAATCAAAGTTGTCTTGGAAGCAAAAAGCCAGAAGAGTGTTCCAAAAGGGAAAAGTGTGATAGCAGATACAATAAGCATAGAACTTACATTACATCTAGCCATGTCATATGTAAAATGATGAGATCATGACGCCAGTCTCGTATTGCACTTAAATTTGGAAAGTCTAAGTACCATAGAGGAAAGTAATATTTATTTCGTGTAATAATACAAGAATTTGGCTCAAGGCCAAAATAAGGGGTGGGAGACTAGTCTTCAATCTATTTTATCTTAAACTTAGCTAGCCACAAACATTGAACCAAACAAACTACAATATTCCTTGCACCAAAACAGCACATTTTTATCTACCATTTTTACTTCTGTAACCAGAAAATCCTAACTAGACCCCATATGTACAATTTGACATGGGTGGGGGACGTTAGTAAAATAACTTTTAAAAATAAAACCCCTGTGAACATTTAAAATGTCTCCAATCTGATAGAGAATAAACAAAATAGTGTTAGAAAAAAACACAATCATTAATTGTGGCAGAAATATCAGTTAACTGGACGAAATTAATGTGGGACTTAAATAATTCAAGCAATCATTCGACAAGCCATTCACTCAAATACTCACTCATCCAAACGCGACAATAAATATAAAAAGAACGCTTGAAAAGACGAAAGGCTTTCTACTTTCACCGGAGAACTGACATTTCTAATCCCCTATCAGTGGAGGATAGGAATAAACTAAAAAAAAAAAAAAAAAAACTGGGGAGAAAAATAAAAGAGGCCAATGACTACACATCTCCTAGCCAAGTTAAATAGCAAAAAACAAACTAATGATTAAAAAACAAAAATAAGTTCTATTTTTGACGGGGTCGCCAATGTTCACCTCTTATCAAGGGGAAAGCACATTAGAACAATTACAACGAAAATATTTATAGAAAAGACAGACGGAGGCCACGTCAGGGCAAATGACTGGTCGGAATGCCTATTTAGGACCAGTAAAATTACACACCCTTCTCATGATTTTGTCGCGAATGTCCGGGTAGGTAGCCACAACACCAGACGAAAGATAGCAATATTTATGGAACGGATGGATACTTGAAAACCTTTATACTAATACAGAATTAGCATGTGCGTGTAGACTAGTGGTTATCGGCAGGGTCAGGGTTTTAAATCGCGGACGAGTTCTTAAGGTTCACATTAGTAAAAATACTTTTGAGAAAGAAATGAATCCCTCACTCGGCTAGGGTTAAATTGTAGGGTATATAGAAATATCAAAACTTGCTTGGGAAACAGTCTAGGAGAAGGAAAACTGAAAACAGGTTGACAGTATCGGTGGTATTTGTAGTGTTATGTCGCGCATGGGATAGTGCACTTGCATGTATCTTGTCGGAAACCTGAAGCCAAAATATGCTTTAGTCCTAGTCACGTTCTGGCTGGCTTGTATTGCCAGTGACGACAGACAGTGATACTTATTTTAACCGTTTCTATTTTTCTCCTCAAGACATAGAAATGATGACTGATATTCGATTTAGATATTGGTAGTGCCTAACCTGAATCTCGTGCTAGAACCGATTAATTGCAGTAGACTGGCCGATATGTTTTGAAAATCTGTCTGTATTTCTGAGATGAGGTATTGCCATTATTTGCATTATTTTCATTGTTCGGACTTGTGTCCTCATCTTTATTGCTATATTCACGACGTTTCGGCCATTGTACGCTCCGGCCTTCTTCATGTGATGAGAAATTCAAACTGAACGCTTTATTTCGTCAGAAAATGTACGGGAAGCAAAACCGACATTATACAGGCTAGAAAATCAATTCAGTAAATAAATAAGAATAAAAAGGTGGCATAAGATAAGGATGTGTCTTCTCACCAGACTTACTCAACCTTTATTCTGAAACGATCTTAACAGAATTAGAAGACCTACTAAGATTCAATATCTGTTTATATTTCTAAGATGAGATATCATAATTATTTACATTATTTACATTGTTCGGTCTGTTGCTCTCATCTTTATTGCCATATTCATTGCGTTTCAACCGTTGTACGCTCCGGCCTTCTTCAGGTGATGGTAAATTCAAACTGAACTCTTTATTTTGTTAGAAAATGTACGGGGTGGAAACCCACATCATACAGGCTAGAAAATCAATTCAGTAACTACACCGGCCTTTGGCCTTCTTCAGGTGATTGGAATTTCAATCCAAATCGGATTCAGTCAAGGATTTTATCCACTGGGCCATAGTGGATAAAGGCGTTGGTTGGATCTGCCGACTTGACCCAAAGAATTGTGAGTTCAATACTTGGCTACTGCAGTGGTGAACAAAAACCTGGAGAGTTGAGTGAAAAGGAGATAACTGAGACACCCGGAAGAGGCATGGCATGTGGAATTAGAACAATCTACACCGCTGACTGAAATAAAGGGTTCAGTTCGAAATTCCAATCAGCTGAAGAAGGCCGTACCTTACAAGGGCCAAAACGTCGTGAATATGACTATAAAGATGAGGACAACAGTCCGAACAATATAAATAATGTAAATAGCTATGGAAAATACAAGCGGACCTATGACGCTTCTTCTCAAAACATATTCGGACAGAACGGGTCAGTATTCTCGTGTCAGGTTGTCAGGAGATTCGGTTGTAATGGCTAAAAGTATAGAAAAGAAAATGAAATGTACAAACTGTAAAATTGTATATTAAACCTTCTATTTTAATGTGACAATAATTCTAGCGTCTGTCTGTCTATCGATGTCTCTTTATTATCTATCTATCTATATATCTATCTATCTATTTGCTACTCAATCTGCTGTTATCTATGTCTATTTCTTGTTAGCTATCTCTCTATCAGGGTATATCTATCTATCTATCTATCTATCTATCTATCTATCTATCTATCTATCTATCTATCCTATCCTATCATATCATATGCTGATACTATCTATCTATCTATCTATCTATCTATCTATCTATCCTATCCTATCATATCATATGCTGATACTATCTATCTATCTATCTATCTATCTATCTATATCTATCAAGGTATCTTAATCTGTTTTGTTTATCATCTATTTATCCCTGTCAATCTGCTGTTATCTATCTAGATGGAAGGAGAGAAAGAGATATCAATCTGTTGTTATCTATTTATCTATCTCTGTCAATTTGTTGTCATATATCTATCTGAATCTGTTCTATCTATCTATCTATCTATCTATCTATCTATCTATCTATCTATCTATCTATCTATCTATCTATCCTATCCTGATATTATTTATCTATCTATTTATCTTCATGCGTATTTCCGTACATACTTTTTCTTCCATTTCTCAGCTTATAACATACTTTTTTATAACTCCTTTTACCATCTCTAAATTATTCCACAAGCCAATTTATTAGCTCATATATATTCTTTTTTCTCCCTTTTTTTTTTGCTTTCTGTCGCTTTCTCCAAATCAACGATACATAGTCAATTTTTGTTTCTGCCTTTTTCTATTTATTGCTTCCTCTTTCCAGCGATCGTGACGGTGAGTTTTTGGCATTATTTTCCCCAAATTATTTTGTTGTCGGCTGCACAGCTCTAACCCCACGAAATCAACGCAAATGTGACCCCAACACCAGAATGTCCAGAAAGAGTTCAAATATCAACATGTTGACAGATAATCGTTTCAGTTTCCTTCTCTCTCTATTTCTCACTCTCTCACATTCTCTATCATATTCACTCACTCATTCACTTTCAGCGTCTCTCTCATTCATCTTTCTGTTTATCGCCCACTCGTTTTACTACAACGTCTCTCTCTCTTTCTGTCTCTCAATTGCTCTTACTCACTCACTCTATCGCTCATTCTTCCCCCTCAATCTCTCTCAGTCAATTTTTTCACTCACTCTTTAATTCATTTTCATTCTCTCACTCACGCACCCACTCACTTTCGCGTAGTATCTGTTGCATTCATCTTTTCGATTATCTCTCACTCACTCTATCGCACATATTCTCTTTCTTTCTTTCTCTCTCTCTCAATTTATCTCCGTCTATCTCTCACTTATTCATCACTCTTACTCTCATTCAGTCTTTAAATCTCTGCCTTACTCACTCACTCTTTAATTCACATTTACTCTCTCGCTCACTCACTCTACACACAGTGCCTCTCTCATTCATTCTTTCAGTTTATCTTTCATTCGTTTTTCTCGCTCTCACTCTTTCGGTATCATATTCTTTCTCTCGACCACACTCACTCACTCTTTAATACACTTGTACTCTCTCACTCACTCACTCATTTTTCTCACTCTCATTCAATCTTTCACTCTCGACCACACTCACTCTTTAATACACTTTTACTCTCTCACTCACTCACTCATTTTTCTCACTCTCATTCAATCTTTCACTCTCGACCACTCCTCTTTTTAATACACTTTTACTCTCACTCACTCACTCATTTTTTCTCCTCTCATTCAATCTTTCACTCTCGACCCACCTCCTCTTTAATACACTTGTACTCTCTCACTCACTCACTCATTTTTCTCACTCTCATTCAATCTTTCACTCTCGACCACACTCACTCTTTAATACACTTGTACTCTCTCACTCACTCACTCATTCATTCACTATTTTACTCATTCTACACTCTCTCACTCTTACTCATTTCTCTCTCACTCACTTTGTCGCACGTTCTCTCTCTTTCACTTCCTATTCTATCTCTCAATATCATTCACTATCTCACTCACTCATCCTATCTCTCATTCTTTCTCTATCATACTCTCACTCATTTAGTCTTTCACTCCCTATTAAACGTATTCTCTTTTTAATTCACTTTCACTTATTCTCTGTCACTTAATCATTCATTCAACCTCTCCTCCATTTTTGCAACCTATCTTCCACTCACTCACTCACTCACTCACTCCACTCACTCACGTTCATTCCCCCACTCTCTCAGTCAACCTAGTTAATTTACTCTTTCCTTCACCCTTTCTTTCTCCCTCTCACACTCATTCGATTTCACTCTCACACTCTCATTCACTGTTTTACTCTTTCATTGACTCTCTTTCTAATTCACTGTCTCACTCACTCATTGTTTCTTTCCCTCTCACACTCACCCATTCTCTTTCTCTCCAAGTTTTATATAATGATATATATATATATATATATATATATATATATATATATATATATATGCTATTTTATTTTGGTGCGGTTGTAGAGGAAGAAACTTGTATTTTTTGATTCACCTCTACATCTGCCAGGTGTAATGGAAAGAAATAGCTGTAACGATCTTCCTGTTTGTCTCTGTTACAAAAAGTGAAAACAATTTCAATACACCTTAATGGATAATAAAATGATTAATAATATAAGTCCTTGTCTTTACTCATCGTACATTAAATAAGCTTTATGGGAAAGGTCTATAAAAAGTAATAAATATATAGACAATAATAATAATAATAATAATAATAATAATAATAATAATAATAATAATGATAGTAATAATAAAACAATCAAAGCTAATCGCCCAGATATAATTATTATTAGAGATCGCACACAAAAGGGTGGTATGGTAGTTCCTGCAGACTGCAATGTATGTCTCAAAAATCTATCAAAATACAAGGAGCTTGAAATCGAAATCTCAAAGATGTGGCATATGGGAACATTAACAATCCCTGTTGTAGTTGGAGCCCTCGGATTGGTTGGAAAAGATTCTAGTAGACTAATTGAAGAGATTCCTGGAAGCCCATGGCTTAAAGAAATACCAAAAATTGTTCTCACGAGTACAGCCCACCCATTACGAAGGGCTTTGTCTATGTAACATATGTTTTTGTTTTTTTTGTTTTTTTTCTCCAGTGGAAAATGCGATGATGCCATTTCTAACATTAGATCCCTGAGCGGGATCCAGAAAGATATGAGTAGACATCAGAAATTAAAGGAAATAATAATAATAATAATAATAATAATAATAAAGGCCTCCTCAATATTGTAAAATACATCAGTGACGACATAGGTATGAACTTCGGATTAGATAAATGTGCAAAAGTAACTTTCAAGAAAGGTAGAATTACAGAAACACCCTTAATAGATTTAGATTTTGTCACAAAGATTAGGGAACTGGAGCATGGTGAAGCTTATAAGTACCTAGGAATTAGCGAAGAAGATGGCATACAACACTCCCAAATGAAGGAAAAAATAAGAAAAGAGTACTACAGGCGTGTACGTCTGGTACTAAATACTGAGCTAAACACAAAAAACAGGATATCAGCCATAAACACATTGGCTGTCCCTGTGGTGCAATACCTCTTTAATGTCCTTAACTGGACCATAGCTGAAATTAAGCGAATGGACGCCAAAACGAGAAAGCTTCTCACTTGCTATCGCATGCATCATCCCAAAGCTGATGTTGATCGTCTGTATGTGCCCAGATCCGAAGGAGGCAGAAGATTAGTTCAACTAGAACTGTCCTACAAAACTACAACAATTGGCCTCCAAAGATATTTGGAAACTACAAAAGACTAGATGATGGTATGCGTCAAGGAACATGAAAGTAGTAAGCGTCTTTACTCCGTAATGAAAGAAGCCAGCAAATTCAAAATGGAGTTTCAAATGGGCGTAGAAATGCAACTACAGCATAATACACCGGCTGAAACTGCAAAATACTTAAAAAATACAGCAAAGACGAATGCAACCGACCAGATACAGAAGCGATGGCAAGATAAACCGCTTCATGGCCAATACTCTGCCCGTACCAAAGAAGCTGACGTAAACAAAACCCGTACCCATCAGTGGCTACGTAGTGCAGGGTTGAAAGCGGAAACTGAAGGTTTTATCCTTGCTGCGTAGGACCAATGCTTACTAACAAGGAATTATCAAGCGCATATACTAAAATATTGTGTCAGCCCAAAATGCAGATTCTGTGATAAGTATCCAGAAACGATTAATCATCTTGTATCAGGTTGCTTGGTGTTGGCACCCACTGAATATAAAACCCGATATGACAGAGTGGGCCAATATCTGAACTGGAAAATCTGCAACTTCTACAGAAAGGAAACTAAAAGAAATTGGTCTGAACAACAATCAGACCCAGTTACGGAGATAGGACATGTAACAATTTTATGAGACTTCAAAATACGCACAGACAGAACAATCAAAGCTAATCGCCCAAAAATCGTTATTAGAGATCGCAAACAAAAAAATGCTTCCTTATGGCAGTCCTTGCACACAGCGATGTATCATTAAAGATCATCAAAAAACTATCAAAATACAAGGATCTTGAAATCGAAAACTGAAAAATGTGGCACATGAGGACATCTACAATTCCGATTGTAGTTGGAGCACGAGATTTACCTCAACCCACCCATACTGAATCAGGTTGTGACACAAGGTCGGTTTTTAACGTGCGGACACTAGTATTTCCATTCAGGCCGCTGATATAAGCTGGTCTTAGCTTTCTAAGCTGGTCTGAGCTGGTCATAGTTTGTTCAAGCCAGCCATAGCCACACTTGTATTTGATGCCCTCGGATTGGTTCCAATAGACTCATTGCAGGGTTTCCTGGTAGCCCATGCCTTAAAGAAATACAAAAAAAAAATTCTCACAAGTACAACCCACACGATACGAAGGGCTTTATCTATGTAATTTTTTTTTTTTAAATTGCTCAGTGGAAAATGTCATGATGCCATTTCTGAACTTAGGACCCTGGTCGGGACCTGAAATCAAATAAGTACACACCAGAAATCAAAGGAAATAAAATAATAATAATAATAATAATCTTTAGCTGAGAGAGCAAATGATAATACACTTTTGAATTTTTCTATCAACAAAGAACGAACAATACAAGCAAAAAATAAAATTTTTGTACACAGATTGACATGAGCTTACCAAGAGGCAAAAACTACAGGGGCTCCTATAGAAGGTATCGAAGGAAAGGAAGAAGAAAGGACAATCGTCAACTACAGAATGATAGAATACATGGTTGGTAGCAAAAACATAAGCCCAAAATACAAACAACTCAAAGACGCCTATATGTAAAAAGGACATCAAATTTAAATAAACTGGGATATCTTTTAACAGGGGCCGGAAATTGCGTCATGAAAATCCGAATACGTATTGTGATAGAAACGACACATACCAAAAGATAAGCACAGTATTAAGACACAGAAAAAAAAACGTCGTTAGAAATAAAGAAAAGAGTTCTGAGGTGTTACATGATATCTTTTGTCTTATATGGCTGTGAATGCTCGACAATCTCCTCAGAGAGAAAGAAAAAAAAACTTGAAAAAATAAGATTCTACAGAAGGATGCTGAGGATACTATGGACCGACCGGACATAAGAGCAACGAGGAAGTTTTAGAGAAAATGGAAAAAAAAAAGGAAAATTATATTTAATATCAGGAAGAGACAGTTGAGACTTCTAAGGAGCACAATGAGGAAAGACTACTTGGAAAATCTGAAGCTCACAGGACAGATTGAAGGCAAGAGTGACAGAGAAAAAGAATGGAAAACATGCTTAGTAAGCTTGAGTAAATGGATTGCGGAGAAGGGTTTAGAGAAAATAACAGAAAGACAAAACGTAAGAGCTGAAAGGAAGAGTGACTACCAACACTGAGGTTCGAGCGTAACACTCTGGACATATGAATGTATGTTTTCCACCAGGTGTATAAATAGCGATGTCAGGCTACTGACTGCGGTGATTATTGAATGGAACTATCCAGTAGAATTAGTGTGAATTATTGTGCGTCGATGATAGGTTGTTTACCAGACTTTAACCGAGTCGCGCTACTAATAAGGTATTCACTGAAATGGTTGACTTCTTTCTTCTTCTTGAGTATTTATTTGTGGTTGTATTTAAATACTGTTTTGTTTTAACAGTCTTGGGTTATACTTAATTATTAACGGTCACCATGTGTCACTAAATAGATGACAGGCAAACTTGAGGTAGCTGAGACATATGTCCAGTCGAATTAATGTGAATTATTGTGCGTCAATGATTTCGGTTTTGTTTTAGGATTTACACGACGTTAACTCGAGCCGCGTTACTAACAAGGTATTCACTGAAATGGTTAATTATATTTGGTTGAATTTTACCTCTTTGTTCTTGTTGAATATTTTTTGCGGTTGTGTTTAAATACTGTTGTATTTTAACATTGAAGTATTTAGTTATCTTTAATTATTAACGGACACCGTACGTCACAAAAAAAGTGATAGGAAGTTTTATATATATATATATATATATATTTCGATAAACGTGCAATCAATTTACAAATTCATGAATTATTCACACAAAAACAAATGCAAAGGTTAATGATTTAATTGGCGAGAAATCCATCGTCGCGAACAATCCAAATAATATACAAAAACCTCCGAACTTGTTATGAATGAAAAGATCCTTGTTTCTATAAATTTCTGCTGCATTAGTTCTTATTTTTACTACAAGCTTTCGTCTGTTCCTACAGACATCTTCAGGTATGGAATAGATGTTGTTCTTGTTTTTTCTCTCAGTAATAAGAGGACAACGAAAATATATGTATTGTTGTATCCGAAAATGGTACTGGAAGTTTTTGTATATTATTTGAATTGTTTGCGACGATGGATTTCTCGCCAATTAAATCATTAACTTTGCATTTGTTTTTGTGAATAATTCATGAATATACATATATATATATATATATATATATATATATATATATATATATATATATATATATATATATATATAGATTCTTTTCTATCACTTCAACTATTTATGTTGACTTTATTTTATAATTTTGCTCTCTTTCCCTCCTCTCTCTCTCTCTCTCTCTCTCTCTCTATATATATATATATATA